GACTGCTCGACTAGGAGATACCCTGAACCCTCCAATCTGATATTTTAATCACTCTGTACATATGTATGCATACACAGGCAAATGAGAAATCAGAATATAATGGATCTGTTAAATAGTATGTAACGGGGAAAAAGAATCATCGCAGACTCCAGTATATACTATTCTTGATCAGTACGACGAGCTGAGTCGATATTGGGAGGCATACTCGTGTATACCATACACAGTACAAGTTTATCAGCTTAGAGGGTTCAGGGTATCTCCTAGTCTCCACTAGAACACGTTTACTTGTTTTTTGTTGAAATAATAAGTAATTGTAGTCTTAAGCTTTCGAACTACCTAATGCAGCTGCGCGGTTACAAGCTTTTAGTTTCTTACTCACATTATCAGGCGTGAAAACAAGCTGCTGATCATATTGAAAGTTTTGCGCGTCCTTTGCTACGATCTTTTTCAGCTGGCGATAGCACTGCGTCGACTTCTCCGCCTGCCCTTGTGTTTGTCTGCCACTGTGGTTGCATAGAATAAATGAAAATTCAATTACATGTGAAGGAACTCGCACTCTTCGTCAATTAGCTGCGCTCTGTTACTGGGGCTGGTACTGGGGCCTACCTTATTGTTTATGATGGCTTGCACAATAACTCGCCTAATTTGCAATCGTTCTACTAAAGCTAGTTTCTGTGTTAATGTGTACTTGTTTTAAGACATAAAAAATTTTGACAGTTACGATGCTTTATGCCTTATGCTTTTTTCTTTTGGTTGCTGTGATTCTGAATTTGCTTATTACAATGATAAAAGCAACACTGTAGCACCGTGTTGCGCAGCACTGCTATAAATTGCACAATCTTTTTAACTACATTTTTCGTTCATTTCCGTCTTAACTATTTGATGCAGTTCTTTTTAGCATTGCGCGCGCGAACAATGCTTTTGTTAAACAAAAACGCAGACAGAGACAGACAAACAACAACACAGCTGGAGATGTGTATATGTTGCAAAAAACACAGCTATGTACTATCGGTTTTCGATATGCATTTGGTCATTTTCCTTACCTATCGATATAGAAATCATTGTGTGCATTGTTATCGATAGTATAATAGGTGCCGAATAGTGCTGCAAAACCATCGATGGACCGTCCATCAATTTTGTTTGAGTCCGATGGATTAAAATATCGATAGTATCGATGGTTCCATCGAA